CAATCGAGTCTTCTTCTACTTCTTAAACACTTTTCATGCATGTGCAAGAGAAACAGCCGAATGTATACGTCATCCGGAAGGATGTGTCGACACTCACTCTACAGATTCGGTTTTTTCGGCCCAAGTTGCCTGCATTTTACTGCTTATACAAAAATAAAATTGTGGGGGTCTAGTGTCTACGGTTTGCATAGGCACCAACACAAACAGAGAGGCAGCCAGCGAAAGCGGCGTGAAGGTCTCAAGAAGGAAGCAGAGATTACGGAAACTGGCGTTTCAAACTTCTGCATTTGCTACTGCATATTGGCTTTTTTCGATTTGCTCGCCCTTCCCTCCCACCTATACTGGGTTTATTTGCCTCGCGGATATTGCCGCCCACCAACTTGGTGGGGCGGTGGAAGGGGCGCTGACTGGCCTGTGTGATCAGTCAACACGCAGGCTGAGGACAGTCCTTGTTTGCTTGTCCCCAGATGACGGACGACTTATTGAACTGCTTTGAAGTAATTCATAAACCTACAAACACCGTGTCCGAATACCTATGGCGCCTCAGCGTCATAGCTCTCGGACCCTAAACCAAAACGGCTGTTATGATTTGCAAAACCACTAAAAGCTTCTGTGAGTGAGTCTAAAAACAAGATTGGCCTCTAATCTTCTGCCCCGATTTCCACCAACAAACCAACTGTCAGTTAACTTTTGCTTGTCGCGGTATACTAGTACTAATAATAAATTACCTAAAGGTATTAGTGATAAGAATAATAAATAACGATTAGAGACGGGGTTAATTGAATGGAGAATAACCATGTTCCACACCAAATTTAACAAGCCCTGGGCGACAGAGACTGATGGAGAGGAGGGGGTAGCATAAACGCTCGCAAACGTCTAATCAGCTGATCGTTCAGCCATGAATCATCATCCCAGCCGCAGCGCGACACGGTCAATGCTAGCGCAGAGCTTATTGGCTAAGTAACAAAGCCGGTCAGGCGAAGGTGTACGCAAGCCTGTCATCTGATTGGTCGCTTGCGCAGCCGGCTTAAACAGCTGATCGGGCATGTTCGCACGGCACGCTTCAGCGCCTCATAACGCGAACAGTCGAGGGCAGGCAGCGAACCGTTTTTTCTGAAGGTTCTTTCTACTCCATGGGCAGACAAACCGTCCCCACATCTGCCCTTCAGCCATAAAATTACCTCAGTAAAAATGCAGATTTTACGGAAGTAAAAAAGTACTTCCGATATAAGTAGCAATCAAATTATTATCAAGATAGCACCCTAAGTAAATAGGGTCCAAGTTGGCAAAACACTACGGCCACCATTTCATCCTAAGACGCAAAACCTGTGCAAAGGCTAGGTTTTTCAAGGCATAGCCCGTTGTCCTCGAAATATGCACCTAGAAAATGTTGGCGAGATATGCTGCAAAAAAATTACTGTTGCGAATGTTTTAAAAATTAACAGACGCTTACCGGAAAAAGAATACGACGACTGAGGAGCTCGGCAAAGGTGCATCCAACACTCCATATGTCGACACCATAGGAGTACCGGGAGGCCTCCATTAGGAGTTCAGGTGAACGGTAGTACTGTGTTACAACTTCTTGAGTGAGTTGTGCCTGGTTCTTGGGGTCATCCATTCTTGCGAGACCAAAGTCACAGATCTGTTAACGAGAAAGGCAAACAATGAAGACCTTTGGAACTCTTGCGAATTCGAGACAGGACTCAAATGCCATGGTGTTATACCGTGTCAGCGTTAAACGCCTCATCTGCCGAGTAAATTACGCGAGAATAAAGTACTCCTTCCACCTAGCTAGTTCGTATTCGCACGAGGGTGAGGTTCGCCGATTCGTTCTGGTTGTATTGGGCTTTTGAGTTCCGAGTATGGGACTCAGGCAAGTTCGCGCTTAGCGAAATTTAAGCAGCCACCGGGAAGTGTTACTGACAAAGATTATGAACTCGGATATGGCCGCACAAGACCACTACATTCTAAGTACTAGGAATGGGGGTTACCGCGATTAGAAAATGAAAAAAAAACACTTTAAACGAGACTTCCGCAGGCCTGTCATGGAGTGAGTCGCTAAAGAACCCGTGGGCGCGCCGATTTGCCAAATACAAGTATTAATTGAGGGCAATGTTGGTTCCGCCAAAAAGACGAAGAGGCATGTGTGTGCGTGTATG